AGAAAACATACTCATCGGAGATGGAAGTACCATGCCCATAGCACATACTGGAGCTGGGATTTTACCAACACCCAATATTAAGCTTTACTTACCTCAAATACTCCATATCCCCAATCTCTCTCATAATTTACTTTCCACATATCACCTTACCAATGACAACAACATTTCCATTATTTTTGGCACTCATGGTTTTACTGTGAAGGACATCAAGACAAATAAAACTTTGCTTCAGGGTCCTAGTCGTAAAGGACTCTATCCCATCACAGCCCATACCAAGATTTACCAATAAAAAGCTTTGCCAGCTCAAAATAAACACCAAGCCGTCATTCTCTGGCATAATAGACTTGGTCATCCACATTCCAGAACCATGGCCATTATCTCCAACTCAAACACACAACTCAACATACCCACACTTCACACTTTATGCTATGCTTGTAAAGAAACCAAAAGTCACAAACTTCAGTTTCCTATATTTGGATCTAGATCTAAAACACCACTTAAAATAATCCACTATGATGTAAGCAGTCCAGCTCCATTCACCTCAACACAAGGATTATGATATTATGTAATCTTCATAGATGGCTATTCTCGATTTGTATGGATATTTCCTATGGTTTGCAAATATGAAGTTCCCTCTATCTTCATTACTTTCCAAAATATGATTGAAAAATAGCTTCCCTACAAAATAAAATAGTTTTGGTCAGATGGAGGAACAGAGTACATAAACAAAGTGTTGCGAAACTACTTGAGAAACCACGACATTATCCAACAGATATCATACTCATATACACCAGAACAAAATGGAGTTGCTGAAAGAAAACACAGACATCTCATTGAAATAACAAGAACGTTGTTAAAGACAGCTTCTGTACCATATTTTCATTGGCCAGAGGAAGTACTCACTGCTTCTTACCTCATATATAGACTCGATCCCAACTCACACAAATCACAACAAATCTTCTCTATAGTTTCTATATAAAAAGGAACCTGATTACTCCCACATAAAAACATTTGGTTGTGCTTGTTTTCCTAGGATACCTCCACAACACAGACATAAGCTTGCCCCAAGAGCCAATCTATCCATTTTTCTCGAATACTCTACCTATCACAAAGGATACAAATGTCTTAACACAAAAACAAACCAGATTACAATTTCCAAACATGTTGTCTTCGATGAGACAACATTCCGATTCAATGATACCAAATAAACCATCATACAACCCACCATCACAACTGACAATCCCTTCCTTCTCACACCCACCACCCAATTCCAACCCAATATGCCATGTCTATTCTCAATATACCAAGGCTCAACCTATGTAAATCCATATCCAATCCCTCATGCACAAAGCCACCATCAAAAATAAATCTAGATCCTATTCTCACAGACCATTATACATACTAACAACTCACTGGCTACTTACAATACCTCACAATAACCAGACCAGACATTGTATATCATGTCAATCTACTATGTCAAAACATGCACGACCCAAATCCATATCATGCATACCTGCTCAAAAGATTACTCTAGTACATCAAAGGAACAATCAACTATGGAATCCACATTTTTTGGGTCAGCTACAACTACAATCATACTCTGACGCAGATTGGGCAAGTGACACAGAAACAAGAAAGTCAATGACTGAATATTGCTCTTTCTTAGGCAATACACTAGTCTCATGGAGTGTTAAGAAGAAACATACCGTAGCAAGATCATCTACGGAAGCAGAATACAGGGCTTTAGCCATGGCTATCACGGACATCATTTGGCTATGACAACTGCTACTAAATTTCAACATACCTACATCACAGCCGATGATTCTTCACTGTGACAACAACTCTACCATATCGCAAGCCAATAATCTGGTATTTTATGCCAGGATAAAACATGTAGAGATAGATCATTATTTCATTCAACATCAAATACATATGAACATCATTCAGATTAAGCAGATCAGCACTCAAGAACAGGCTGCAGACATACTCACAAAACTGCTTTCAACATTAAGATTTCATCTTCTTCGCGCCAAGCTTAGTGTTTCCCAGAAACCCTAAGCTTGAGGGGGAATGAAAAGAAAGAATGAATTAGCCACAGTCTAACAGAATGAAGCTAGCTAGCTATATAGACAGCAAACATCCAGAATGATCGCAGCTGCCCAGACAACAGCTGGATTCATTACTCGTGCATGCATTGATAGCCAAGTGTTTTCAACTATCAAGATTAATGTCAGCCACATGTTTAGTATAGGAAAAGTATAAATACATGTATGCACGATAATGAAAAATCAAAATTATTCTTTCCACTTATCTTTTTTGGTTAAGTTTCTTTATTATCATCATGCAATTGATACAAAAAAATAAACTAAAGACTTGTAAAATATTTTTAAAAAAATTGCAAAATGAGCATATGGCCAGGTGCATACACCAATAAAAATAAATATTCATAATTTTATAGTTAATTACAAAATAAGCATCATCCCATCTCACAAATTCACTCAACAACCTATCACATTCCTATCCCTATCAAGGAATAGATGGCATTATTATTAGTGATGGTACCTCTGTTCCCATTGCAAACTCCGGCGACAGATTATTCCTAACCCCACTTCATAAGCTTAAACTATCTTTGATTCTTCATATACCTGTTATCACACATAATCTTTTTTACATTTCAAATCTAACTAATGACAATAACATCTCTATTACTTTTAATTCCTCTGCTTTTTTCTTCAAGGATATGCAAACAAATTAGATCATACTCACCAGGCCTTGTAGTGATGGATTGTATGCCCTCTCCAACCCCTCATCAGCTACTCACAACTCCATCTTCACTTCCATCTTCTCACAAGCAATCCTCTAGCATAACCATCTCGGCCATCCTCATCACCATGTTACTGCCATCAACTCCATTCTTAACCCGGAACTCAAAATACTTGGTTTCTTATATGCTTGCATTTCTTGTGAGACATCTAAAGTGAAAGTTCGTTAGGGATGTTAAGCCCTATAGAACTGGCCCAAAGCTAATTAAAAGAGAGAGGTGATTTGAAAAACTTTAAAACCAAAGATAAAACTCTAACCAAAATCACCACAAACAAAGTGCGGAAGAAAAAATAAATGCGGAAGCGATAATAAGAAAAGAACACACCAAATTTATAGTAGTTCGGTAAAACCTTGACCTACGTCCACTCCTTGGAGGCACCCTCCAAGTGTTGCACTACAAAAGTGTCTCTCCTTTAGCCCCCACAGCTAGGCGGAGAAGCCCTTACAAAATCACTTCCACCTTCCCCGGTGCGGCGGAGTCGCCGGGTCCTTTGACACCAAAGAGATCTTCTTCTTTGGTGAACTTACCTCGAGACAATCCTTGAATCCGATGGTACTAAGGTGCGAGTTTGCCGGAGCAACCGTGTGGATCCCCCAATACACTCCCTTGAGTTCCTCCCCCTCAAAGGATCTTCTCCCTCTCAAACTCCACCCTTTCCTCTCTCCCTTTCAAGCTCTCTCTTCAAGTTTCCCCCACAAGAACGAAGCTACAATGGCTTCCAAAGACACTTACAAAGTGTCATGCCAAGCTTAAATAGAAGATCTCAAAATGAGCTCATTAATGCAAGTTGCCGACATTATCGTCCAGGATGATAGGTATATCGTCCTGGTCGATCAGTACAAATTCAGCTCATCAGCCTGGGACGATTTGGGACGATCAGAAGAAAATTGGTTACATCGTCCAGGCCGATCTCACGATCGTCCTGGCCTATTAGTTTAAAATCGATTTCAATCGTCCTGATCATCGCCCTGAATACAACCTGTCCGATGTAGATCGTCCAGGCCATCGTCCTGGCCGATCATGTGATCGTCCCAAACAATGTGATCGTATCAATCAACCATTAATGCTTTCCAAAGATACCAGATCAATTTAGGCATAATTGATTTAGATCGTCCTGGATGACAATAATATCATCATGGCCGATTTCCTAAAATAAAGAATTCCAAAATTGATTATGGCGGTTGATTTTTTCTGAATTGAGCCGATCGTCCTGGCCGATACAGGTATCGTCCAGGCCGATCTGTTGACGGGTGCCTTAATGAGGATGCCCTAATTAGGGTTTCTGATTTTGGACATATCGTCCCGGCCGATATTACAAAAAATAGAAATCTTATAGGGAACAACAGGAGATCTTCCAAGTTACAAACCAACTGGTCCCATACCAAAAACAATAGACTTAAGAAAGGAAAAAAGATTACAATCTGACTCAGACCTAGTCTACCCAATCTTAAGCTGGTACTGGTTTCAAATTGCAGTCTGATCGTGTGGACCTGAAATGTTAGTAGAAAGAAGTCATAGAGAAAAAGCATGTTTGCTATCATCAAAATCATAAGCCATAGATCCGCAACATAAAGGTCATAAATTAGTGTTGGAAAACTCTTCTAATCATCAACTTAAACCATTAGCTATAATTCATTCGGATGTATGAGGATCTTCCCTAATTCCTTCTAATCAAGGATACATATATTATGTGATATTTATCGATAATTTCTCTTGTTTTATATGGATATTTCCAATGCATTACAAATTGAATGTTACCAACTTATTTATCAATTTCAAATCTCAAATTGAACATCAAACCTCTCATAAAATCAATTTTTTATGCACATATGGAGGCAAATAATACCTAAATAATCAAATATCTCGATTCTTCAAACAACATGGCATTCACCATCAGATTTCTTATCCCTATACCCCTGAACAGATTGGTCTGGCTAAAAGAAAACACAAGCACATTCTAGACACAACCCGAACATTACTTCAAATCGCTTCCGTTTCATACATGTACTAGCTTGAAGTTGTCCTAACATGTGCCAATTTAATAAACAGATTACCTCTCCAATAACTCAAAATCAATCACAATTTCCACTACAGGAAATGCAGTTCTTATCGGCGGTTTACCTTGTTTTATCGGCGATTTAAAAAAAAAATCGGCGTCTTTTTGACGGTTTATAAGCTGCCGGAAAAAATGGCGTCGGAAATCGTTGCCGGCGGTTTTTTTTGGGTGGTCTATTTCTCCGACGGCGCTTGCCGTCGGTTATCACGAGAGTTATTATTGGCGGCTTTCCGGCTGTCCAACCACCGGCAACCATACCGGCGACTACTTGGAGGTACATGCCGACAGAATTGCCGGCGGTTGTAGCCACCGGCGTGTCGCCGAAGAACCGCCAGCCAGCATCGGTAAATTGCTAGTAAAATATCGGCGGTTACCTGGCGGTCCGAACCGACGGCATGTCCGACGGTGTAAGCAGCTGGTGTATCGCCGGACACCCACCGGCAAGCATCGGTAAACTGGCGGTTTAAAGAGATTTTCGGCGACGTCAATCAGCCGCCCGGTATCGTCATTTCTGACGGCCAAACCGTCGGTTGGCCGCCGGATACCTATAGCATCTGAAAAAGAAATTGACAACCTCCCCTCTATTTGAGGGAGGTTAACCCTAGAGTCTAAACATGTACAAAAAGCAAGCAATAACAATAATTTTGGGCAACACGCCACTATATTCAATCAATTATCATAACTATATATATAAGTAAAACCAAACAAAATAATAAATGTAACCAAAGTTCACATGTTCAACCAAATTCACAAGTTCTAAGTTTAACCAAATAACTTTACAATCATATCATCATAAGTTCATCAAACATAAAAAAGTGCTAATCCTTATTTGTATCCTCGTTGTCTGGAGTTGCATGTGGCTGCTGTGTCTCTTGCTCTTTCTTCCTTTGGCTTTCATCTATGTAGGATTGCAGTTCTGCTTGCATTTTATTTTGAACCTTTCTCATTTCTTCTATCCTCTAATCAGCGTTGCACTTACAGTTTTTTCAGCTCCACTTGGATCATAAAATGCTGAGGTGGATGAACTGCCCTCATACGCATATCCTTGCGATCCCATGTCATATACCCTCCCCCTCTGTCTTCCTCCAACAACATCTGACCATGTATGATACTCAAAAATCTGGGTTGATTCTGAAGATGATCCCTCACCATTGGACTGCTGACTTGCCCGTGCTCGTATAAAATCATCCTGCAATAATAAATCCATAAAATTTATTGATATTACAATTAGTTAGTTTTATTAAAATAAATTTATATTCCCAAAATCCGAAAAATTATACTCACGTGAGCCTTCTTAGCCTTTTCATCAACCCACTGATGATCAGCTTGATGTTAATGAGTTCTTATATGCAGCTCCAGCGGTGTTGTCTCCTGACCAATGTACTCTTTCTGAAAATATAAGATATAGTTATAATAACATAGATATATTTAATAAACTAATTTAAAACTCTTACCAGTTGTCGTCTATGTTCCATATGAAGAACAAATCCACCAATATGAAGAGCGCTTTCTAAACCCCCACAATATGAACAGATCCACCAGCAAACGTCCCCCTATATAGTTATGAAAATATTTATTAAAGCACATGTGTAAAACATAACAAGTGTACATGCTATACCTTAAAACAAGTATACTTTACTTGAATAGGAATGCATTGTCTACCTCTACCTTTATTAACATAAGTCAAATCTAATACCTCAACTTTCCTTACTGGGTCATCAAAAGGCCTCCGTTTAATGTGACAAAACCATGTAAAGCGACTATCTATAATCTTATCTTCCAGTGGACCTACTCCAACCTTATCACGTATAAGCTCACTTCGTATCCTATCTCTAAGGGTTAATCCACTCATCATTATCTTTAATTTATTGACCACGATTCGGCACCATAAAGCATTGCATTTCTCGCCACCATCTTATAGAATTTTAACTAAAGTTTGAGGGGGACTATTCTATCACACAATAACAAGCACGATTCATTCCTTCATTTCAACCATCAAAGTTGAATTGTGCTGATGATATCTGGCTTTCTATTTCACCATCACTCTGAACAAAAGATCCAAGATATCTAAAATGTGTATCTTATTAATGACTTAATCGCCCAAAGTCACAATCCCCTCACTAGGTCTATTGCTACTAAAATAATATATATATATATATATATATATCTACAATTACACTTAATATATTCAATTTTAGATCTACTTAAACGAAAGCATTTAGACTCTAAGGTTGACCTCCATAATTCAAGTTTACCTTCAACTCCCTCTCTAGTCTTATCAACAAGAAGAATATAATCACCAAAAAGCATACAATAGAGTACAACCTCTTGCAAATGTCTAGTGAGAGCATATAATAACCAAAAAGCATATAAAAAAAGATCACCTATCTAGGGAGCACGGTGTGTTCGTCGGTGGTGTGTTTGTGGGAGTTCGACGGTGGTCTTGCAGTGAGAGCTCGAGGGCGGTCGGTGTGGGGACGGCGGCCGGTGTGGAGTCGTCGGTGGTTGTCAAGCTGCTCGGTCGAGCGAGAGGCGGGCGGAGGCGACGACGGAGCACAGGCGAAGAGAGAGAAGGGAAGAAAAGAAATGAAATGGGAGGCTCGGGCTGGTTCATTTTAGGGCTTTTACCGACAGTTTTCCGGCGGCGACCACTTAACACCGGCGGTTGTCGCCGCCGGTATGCTGCCGAAAATATTTAAGTTCGACGATTAATCTGGCAGTTTCATGACCGCCGCTAGTTCCAGCGACATATTCTTAAATAACCGCCAGTTAGGCCGCAGGTATTAACCGGCGGCCAAACCACCGGTTAAAATCGCCGTTATTACCAGCAGCTAAACAACCGCCAGTCTAGGCCGCCGGTAACAGCTGAATTTCCTGTAGTGTTCAACTCCTATACAACACTCCACCTTCTTATTCTCATCTTCGCACATTAAGTTGTGAATGTTTCCCTTTGATCCCTTCCCCTTTTCGACACAAACTTGCACCCACTCCAAATCATGTGTCTTCATGACTTGGAATCTTACAAGGGCTATAAATGCCTAGACCCGTCCACAAATCATGTCTACATTTCAAGACATGTCACATCTATAGAAAACTCTTTTTCTTTCACCAAATCCTCTCCACTAGAAGCTCTCGATCTCTACCTCAAACCCATCTCATCATCTCCTTGTTCCTACACCACCATAAAGAATTCCACAAACCCCACAACTAATCAAACCTCCAATTCTCTCCAAGATCCATATAGTCTCAGCTGATCATCCTCTACCCCGGCCCAGTCAGCCATATCCAATCAAATACCCACCACAACTTTGATCTCTCCATCACTTAACCTACCTGCAGATCCTTTAGTCCTTCACCACCCAATGATTACCCTCCTTCAAACAAGCTCTTTAAAACCAACAAACTGGCTCAATCTCCTCCATCACCAAACTCCACATGTCATTTCATCAGACCCAACCACTTACTCTAAGGCTATCAAACACATTGAATGGAAAAAGGCTATGGCACTCGAATTCTTTGCTTTACAAAAACTAGGGGCATGGTTCTAGTTCCTTTTTCTCCTAATGCATTTATTCTTGGTTGTCGTTGGACATACCGCACCAAACATCAGTTAGACATATATGTTGCTTGGTTCAAATCCCCACTTGTTGCATAGGGTGTAAACAAGTCGAGTTTTGACCCTTATCGAGCTCGGCTCATTAGTGGAAAGCAAGCTCGAACTCGAGCTCATCTCACTGTAAACGAGCTCGAGCTGGCTTATGAGCCATGTGTCAGACTTTTTAAAAATCCCACCTAAATTTAAAAAATTGGGTTGGCACAAGATCACTTTTTTAGTGTTAGAAATTTATATAATTTAGTATTCTAATAACATTCGATGGTGAAAAGAGTAAAATTTCTATTTTACATTGAAGAACTCTCAATTTAATAAAATAAAATAGATTGATTATTTCTTCACACGCGCGCTTAGATCAATAATACAATTACTCTACATGCAATAACAACACTGATGACAATGTAAACGATAATGGCAACTCTTCAAAATTAAACTACTTTATCCAGAGAGAATTTACCATGATCAAATATTATTTGTTATATATATTGGCTTACCGACCCAGAATCAACACTTGGCGCACACAGCTTAGGTTGCTTGCTACATATCTTCTATTTTATATTTTATTAAATTATTGCCTTAATTAATATCGTATGGACATTTGGAGTAAAGATTCCTGGAAAAGCCTGGTGAACAAAACCAACAAAACGATAGCGTTAAATTGCATGAAGAGGGTTTTTTATTTTGTAGGAGAACCACGGGATGTATTAATTGAATGCGCCTATGCATGTATAAGAGGAGAAGATATTTTGTCCCGATCGATCGAGCGTACGTAGACTGAGCACCTCTCCACTTGATGAGATGGTGTGTATATATATATAAAGACGATCATCATATGTACATACCTCCCCTCCTGTACGTGTTAGAGAAGAATAAGCAATAGCAACGAGAAGGACGAAGAGATCAATAAGTTGAGGAGGGAGTAATAGAAATAATTGTGAAGGCAAGCCAGAGAGCGAGGTAATTAAGCAGCCAGCTTGTGAAATCGAGAATAGGTAGAGAGATGAATAGCGTGGATTATAGTTGGAGCGGGAGCCAGAGCATGAGCGTAAGCCAGAAGGCTTCTCATATGATGGGAATGCCTTCGGCGAGTTTCGATGGGGTGTTCTCGCGTTCGAGGGCGAGTGAGACGAGAGCTATGGAGGAAGAGGCTCTGCGATGGGCGGCCTTGGAGAAGCTGTCCACATATGATCGGCTGCGAACTGGCTTCATCCGGCGGGCGCTCGATAGCTACGAAGCAAGCTGTCAAGATGTGAGGAGTAGAACATATTACAAGTACCAGGCGGTGGACGTTGCGAATTTGGGTTTGGCCGAGCGTCAGGAGTTCATCGCCAGGATCTTTAGGGAGGCGGAGGAGGATATTGACACCTTCCCTAAGAAGCTACGAGATCGGATTGATAAGTAATATATATTATTAATCACTTTATTTCTTTCTCTCTTTCTTTTTTTGGAAAGAATTTATTAAACTTATCAATCAAAGATTATATTTTTCAATGATTTAGTGGGGAGTATATCTAAATATGTATGATTTAGTAAAAAAAAAAAAAACATAGAAACATATTATATGAGACTTCATACTGAACATGGTTAATTTATTTTTCTTCAATCAAACATTAAGAATATAAAAAATATTATATTTACTTTCTTTACACTAATATTACTTGCAATCAAACGGCCTATAAATGTAATTTGTATGATTGAGAGCATCTTTTATGGAAAGGCTCAATTCTATGCTATTTAGCAAAAATTATAATGAATCATACTGCCACAAAAAAAAAAACACCTCATGTCTTAATGTTAACACTGACTTTACAAAAGGCCTGTATTATTTAAAAGTCTTAATTTGTATGTTGTCGTTTTGGATGATTTTTTATTATTTTTTAACATAAAATTTAAATCTTTTTACTTTTAAAAAATTTTTTTAAAGAGCCGAAAGAAAGTATCGATCTCAAAGGAAACTTTAATCAGATTTTTTAAATATTTGAATTTTTTGGCAGGCATGAAGATGCCGGCCCATTCGCATCTTTTCTGACTTTTTTAGAAGAGAGGAACATTTCGTAGCTAGCGAGTTTCTCAATACTTTAGAAAAAAAAATGACATGATTTTTTTATTTCTTAAAAGTGTTGAGCTGATTGTAGATAATAGATAGTTTTATATTGAAAAAACAGTTTCATTTTTTTCTTTTTCCTTACTGAAGATTAATAAATGATATGGAAGGCCTTTGATATCTTCTAATTGCATGCCATTTGTGATGACCAATAAACTAAAGACCCAGCCTTTGTCCACAACAAAAGACCAATATTGAAAAAAAATTAATTAAGCTCTAATGTCCACTATTTCAAAATCTTGAATTGCTTAATTTTTACTCGTTATATTTGTTTGCATATGCCGGCCAGCAAATTAAATTAACTTATTCAAATTGCATTTTCTTTAAATAAGAAGAATCCAGCATTTAGGAAAAGTCCAAATTTGTATTTCTCTCAATGCTGCAACAGCAGGTTGTGCCTAAACCGTATATAAATCCTAAACTTGAATAATTTAATTACGATATTTTTATTATCTTTTAATGACATGAAGTCATGTAATATTGATTAACAAATAATATTAAATCATAAAATTATCAATTATTAAATTTATGAGAATTTACATGTAATCAACATAACAATTATCATATTAGATTAAAAAATTATTCCCTTAATTACATATGGTAATACTACAGACATAATGTAAATAAATAAAAATGTCAAGTATAAAATTAATGATAAAACAATAGAAAAACTAAGGTCTAAATTAATCATCTTTTATGATATTTCATGAATCATGCATCCTTATCATTTTTTTTTTCATAAGCACAAATTATCCGCGAACTTACTTTAATGAATTAATGTGCTAATTATTATTTATGATATATTTGCATTTTTTTGGGCAGGGTCGGTATCGATCTTCCAACGGTAGAGATCCGATTCGAAAATCTATCGGTAGAGGCTAAATGTCACGTGGGGACAAGGGCATTGCCAACGCTTCTTAATGTCACCATAAATATTGCTGAGTCAATTTTGAGTTTGTTTGGTATTAAATTTTCCCAAATGACTACTCTCAACATCCTTAAAGACATCTCCGGAATTATAAGATCATCAAAGTAATCATATATATATATCTTATATTTAAAGCAAAAGAAAAAAGAGAGAGGAGATAGAGAGAGACAATCTAAGTGTATGAGGAATCATTTATTTATTTTCTTGCAGAATGACATTACTCCTAGGGCCCCCATCTTCAGGAAAGACTACATTATTGCGAGCATTAGCAGGAAAGCCTGATTCATCTCTAGAGGTTTGTGTTTAATTAGTTGATTGATGAGATAATTAAATGTATATATAGTTAACAAAGTGCTACTGATCATCGAAGTAGTCATTTGGTTCATTGCTATTTAGATAAAAAAAATTATTTTATGATTCCCAAATACTATTGTAAAAAGAATAATATAATAACGCAGATGGGAGGAGAGGTAACATACAATGGATATAAGCTCAGTGAGTTTGTCCCTCAAAAGACAGCGGCATACATTAGCCAGAATGACGTCCATGCTGGTGAAATGACTGTGTATGAGACACTTGACTTCTCTTCCAAGTGCCAAGGCGTGGGAGATAGAAATGGTATGATATTTAAACCAGCAAGTTACAGCTAGCTACATTTTTCTGTATGAATAACATGGTAATTGCTGAAACATCATATATATATTTGTATTTTGTTGATCTTCAGAACTTCTCAGTGAGTTGACTAGAAGGGAGAAGGCTGAGGGCATATTGCCTGACCCTGAGGTGGATCTTTTCATGAAGGTATGTACATTTCAATAAGCCATATTTAGGTTTTGTTTAAATGCTATAAAACCATAGATTTCTTTTGCTTCCCAGAGAAAGTAGATATATATATATATATAGATAGATAGATTTCTATAATAATGGTTTATGTTTTAGGCCACTTCTATTGGAGGTGGGAAGAACAATCTTCAAACAGATTACACATTGAGGGTACGTAAGCTAGCTAGTCATTTGCTTCACAGGCATTAATACTTGCAACAACCTAGAATTAAAGTACATCAATATTGCTTTTTGTGCCAATTGGTGGACTGCAGATTCTAGGACTGGATATTTGTTCTGATATTGTTGTTGGTGATGAGATGAGGAGAGGAATATCTGGAGGACAAAAGAAACGCCTTACTACCGGTACTTAAAACTGCTCATCATCATAATTTTTATATAAAAATCAACGAACAAAAATTATTTAAATATTTCATTTTACTTCTCTATTTAGAAAAGGTTGCTAAATTAAAAAAAAAATACACAAAGAAGGAGGTGTGTGGAGATGCAATAAACAAACTCCCATGTATAGTGATAGGAAATACTTGAAATCAAGTAATTCCTAGCGAAAACTGAAGCGGAACAAGAGGGAAAAACTGTTGTCTCCAGCCGTGGACAGCAGCTTTACACAGGAAAACAGTGAGGAAACGCGAGAAAACTGAGATCCAACGCAAGCAAAGGCTAGTATTTTATTAGTAGACGAATAAAATAGCAAAGATACAATTTGTTCTTCAATTCGAGAGGAAGAACGTACTCTCCAAAGTCTCCGGCGAAGCCAAGAGCCCAAAACAAAGCCTAGATCTCAAAGAGAAAACTCAAATTCAAGATGCCCAAACCCTAGGAAAAACATCTATTTAATGCATACAAATCAAAAGGAATTCCCTAAACAGTCCCTACATTCAAATTTCCCTCTCAAAACGCTCAAAAAAACTTCCTAAACGGCTCTACGGGGACGAACGGGCCGCTCGTTCTCCGCCAGAGGCGGATCTCTGCCGTTTTTGCGAATAGCTGGTCCCGTGCGGACCGGCTGGACCGGTCCCGTGGACCAGTCTAACATATAGTTTCCTGATAAGGCAAACTTATTTACTTTGAAAGTACAAAAGAAAATAGCTTTTTAAAATGTTTTTAAGAATGACTAATGCTTTTTGAAAATAATTTGAGTATGAATGGACAAATTAATATTTTGCAGGTGAGATGATTATAGGGCCAACAAAGACATTATTCATGGATGAGATATCAACTGGGTTGGATAGCTCAACAACGTATCAAGTTGTGAAGTGCCTCCAACAAATTGTGCACCTAGGAGAAGCCACTATACTTATGTCTCTCCTCCAGCCAGCGCCTGAGACATTTGACCTTTTTGATGACATCATCCTACTAGCTGAGGGTCAAATAGTCTACCATGGTCCACGAGTACACGCCCTTGAATTCTTTGAGAGCTGTGGGTTTAAATGCCCTGAGAGGAAGGGTGCTGCTGACTTTTTGCAGGAGGTTACATCAAGGAAAGATCAGGAACAATATTGGGCAGAAATGAATAAACCTTATCGATACATTTCTGCGGGTGAATTTGTTAGACATTTCAAACGCTTTCATGTTGGCAGAAGTTTGCAAAATAAGCTCTCATTTCCTTTTGACAAGAAGAAGAGTCATGGAGCAGCATTGGTGTTCACTAAGCACTCTGTTCCATTTAAGGAGCTCCTTAATGCATCCATTTCAAAGGAATGGCTTTTGATCAAAAGGAACTCCTTTGTTTATATCTTCAAAACAGTCCAGGTTTGCTCTAATTAACCAAATCCAACAGTTGTGCTCTGCATAACATCATATTTTCTTAATCAGCATGTTATGATTTTTTTCTCTTTTTGAAGCTCACCGTATTGGCATTGATGGCCTCAACTGTTTTCTTGAGGACAAACATGCATTCAAGAAATGAAACTGATGGGTCAGTCTACATTGGAGCAATCATCTACAGTGTCATTGTAAACATGTTCAATGGGTTTGCTGAACTAGCTCTTGCTCTCATGAGGCTTCCAGTATTTTACAAGCAAAGAGAACTCCTCTTCTATCCAACGTGGATTTTCAGCATTCCAAACTGCATTATTCGGATTCCCATATCTATTGTGGAATCTGCTGTTTGGGTGATTGTAACATACTTCACTACAGGATATGCTCCAGAAGCTGATAGGCAAGTTTCCTAGCCATTCGTCAAAACATATTTCTCAAAAAGTTTCATCCTTAAATCTGGTGTTTGTCAAACCTCCTTAAATTTATATATTTGAGCTTAAAGTTTACTAACGTGATTAGGGTTATATAGTTAGATTTATAGCTAAGAAAATGTGTCACAAGATTGGGGCGATGCATTGTGCTCCACTGATTTACTATTTTCTCACTCTCTCAAAATTTTTCTGTATAGAAATTTCATGTTATTTATTTCCTTTAGTGCTGGTTTTCTAGCTTACAAGATATAAATTTTCTATTGGGTAATCTCACTACGATCACTAGAAAAATTTTCTAACTCCAATTTTTCCCGAGCAGATTCTTCAAGCAATGGCTTATATTCTTCCTCATTCAACAGATGGCAGCAGGCCTTTTCCGGGTTGTAGCAGGAGTAGCTAGAGAATTGACTTCTGCGAACACTTTGGCATGTCTCCTTACGCTATACATGTTTAGTGTTAGTGGCTTCATTCTACCCAAAGGTTCTAATCATTGCAACCTGCATTACATCCTGTAAATTTAATGGAATTAATAATGTTATGTTGATAATATGATATTCCATAAGAACCTTAAAAGACAATTATAGGATTCTAAACAAAAAGGTTATATGATGTTTTTCACAGAGATGATACCAAAATGGTGGAAATGGGGTTACCAAATTTCACCTACAACATATGCATTTACTGCTCTAACAATTAATGAGATGTTTTCGCCTAGATGGATGGACAAATTTGTAAGTATTAATTATATATAGTTGTACTCTTTGACTTGGACATTATAATTATGTAATTACTTCCTGCTGTGTTGTTAATGACAAACTCTGCAAATAAAATATCTTATGCTTATTGACATGTTTTGCTCAATCAATTTGATGCAAGTATATATTCTATAAACTAAACCTTCCTGCTAATATTGAGTAAAACTGGCAGGCATCTGATGGCAGAAAATTGGGCGTGGCAATCCTAGAGAACAACAATGTCTCCACTGATGAGAGCTGGTATTGGAAGTCAGCCTTCATTCTTTTACTATATGCTGTCTTCTTCAATGTTATGTTCACCCTGTCCCTCATGTATTTAAATCGTAAGTCATTCCAATTTTATTGATCCACGAGCTTCATACAAGAATGATTGGCATTACCAATTACCAATGACATTCAAACTTAAGTTTCTTTTTTGGGTTAATTAATGATAGCTCGGGGCAAGCCAAATCCGGTCATATCAGAAGAGAAGGCAGTGGAGATCAAGGCAAATGGAGAAGTTGAGGCAATAGACTATCCACGAATTAGAAGGGTGGGGCTATCATCCAAAAAATCTTTTTCTCGGTCTATATCAGAAGATAAGAGAAATAAGGGTATGCTCTATATAATATACAAACGAAGTTTTCAAACAGAGAATTTCAAGAAAGACTATTCATCATCTTCTGAGATCATCATGGTATTTATTGCTCATGCAGTTGAGATGATGGTCCAAGATTCAAATTTTCGTAACAGTGATGCTTCACCTGATTGGCGTGATTATGAAGCATACAAGAATCAAGCCAAAAAAGCCATCTCTACAAGAGGAATGGTTCTCCCTTTTACACCCCTTGTCATGTCTTTCAATGAAGTGAACTACTATGTTGACACGCCTGCTGTGAGCTTCTCCTTCTTCTTAATTACTTGCATGTGGATTTTTAATCAAAAGAAGTGAAAATTCAATTGTAACTACATAATAAATAAAAAATAATCAGAGACTTTGGTTTGATAGGAAATGAAAGAGCAAGGAATTACTGAAGATAGGCTCCAATTGCTGAGAGGGGTTACTGGCGCATTTCGCCCTGGAATTCTTACCGCCCTTATGGGAGTGAGTGGAGCTGGAAAAACAACTCTTATGGATGTCTTGGCAGGCAGAAAAACTGGCGGCTACATTGAAGGAGATATTCGAATTTCAGGTTATGCTAAGAACCAAGCAACATTTGCTAGAATTTCAGGATACTGCGAACAGTTTGATATTCACTCTCCTCAGCTTACTATCCGAGAATCATTGATCTTCTCAGCATTATTGCGCCTTAGCAACGAAGTAAGCAAAGAAGAAAAATTGGTGAGTATAGCCTCTATCTCTCTTTCACCAAGCCTAGTTTCTATCGTTAGTGGTTGGGTTGGTGAAAAAACCTTGACAACTACTTATTTCAAGTAAGCTGAAAGACAAACTATGAAAGGGAAATTGATACAAATTGCTTACAGATGGAATATGATTAAAAGTTGAAGTGCGGTGCCTGAGTTGCAGCAAATATTAACTAGTGATTTATCTGTCTTCAGAGATTTGTTGACGAAGTGATCGATCTGGTTGAGCTGGATAACCTCAAGGATGCATTAGTGGGGCTTCCAGGAATTTCTGGTCTATCCACAGAGCAAAGGAAGAGATTGACTATAGCTGTGGAGCTTGTCGCTAATCCTTCAATCATCTTCATGGATGAACCAACATCAGGTCTTGATGCACGGGCGGCTGCTATTGTGATGAGGACAATAAGAAACACTGTTGACATGGGAAGAACTGTTGTTTGTACCATCCATCAGCCGAGCATTGATATATTTGAGTCATTTGATGAGGTAATATGGCTTAATATATATACCTACAAATTTCTATTCAAGTCTCAATCTCTGAACAGAGTTTCTTCAAACAGCTGCTTCTATTGAAAAGAGGGGGGCAAGTCATTTACTATGGACCGTTGGGCCAGAATTCTCAGAAATTGATTAGTTATTTTGAGGTTTGTGCTCCTATAGGTAGCTTCATTTTGATAATTGAGCTCTTATTTAATATTGTTCATCACTTTATTAGTGTTTAAGGTTTAGGATTTATGTTTGAAATGCCTCGTGCCTAAGGTGTGAATTTCAGTCAACAATGGAAGACCATGTGTTGTGATTGAATATATGAGGCGTCATTTCTCAACAATAAATAAACCATGTGAACAGCTTTGAAATGGCAAAAAGAAAATAAATGTTATGGGAGCAGATTACTGAAGAGGTAGTCCAAAAAAAATAAGATAAATGGAAATTTCAGAATGAAATAACATGATTGGAAACATTTAGTCCTCCAGCAATTTTGTTGTGTCGACTTTATATGCTCTCTATAGTTTTTTTTTGCTTAGTGATTACCGATGATTTCTTTGATCTAATAGTTATTCTAAAATCATTAACAGGAAATTCCAGGAGTTCAAAAGATAAAGAATGAACGCAACCCTGCAGATTGGATGCTGGAAGCAAGTTCTATTTCCTCCGAGGCAAGATTGCAAATTGATTTTGCAGAGATATACAAGTCCTCAAGTTTACATATGTACGTCAAGGGCCAACAAAATACTCTAGTACTTTAGTATTTATGATTTATGCCACAGTTGCTCCATTTGACATTCTATCTGCATGCCTTACTAGGCGCAACTCAGCATTGGTTAGAGAGCTGAGCAAACCAGTTCCTGGTACAAGTGACCTTTACTTCTCAACTCCATTCCCCCAATCCAATTTTGGGCAGTTCAAAATATGCCTTTGGAAGAACTGGTCAATATATTGGAGAAATCCGGAGTACAACCTGACCAGAGTATTTGTTACTATCGTCACTGCTCTGCTTGTTGGCAGCATTTTCTGGAAGATTGGCAAACAGAGGTATCCAAGGACAACTAAAATTCTACCATCCATAAGTGATGCCTTTAATTTACATGCTTGATGAGTGGGCTAACAATTTTCTCCCTGGACCCAGGGAAAAATCCACTGATATTACGGTTGTCATTGGAGCAATGTACCTTGCAGTTATATTTGTTGGCTTTGGCAACTGCTCCACCGTGCAGCCAACCATCACAACAGAGAGGTCAGTTTTCTATCGCGAGAAGGCTGCAGGCATGTACTCGGATCTACCGTATGCTCTTTCACAGGTATCTCTACTTCACCGCTATAATTTCATCTTGCGCCAATCAGATCTAAAGAGACCAGGATTCCACATTTTCCTATTAATATAATTTACTTTATATTGATTAAAAATTTTGCTTTCTATGTCGGATGCAGGTATTTGTTGAGGTGCCGTACGTGTTTTTCCAGGCATCGTATTATTCACTTATGGTGTACTCCATGATGAGCTTCGAGTGGACTGTTACAAAGTTCTTGTGGTTCTTCATTATCTCCTTTCTCACTTTCCTCTACTTCACATACTACGGAATGATGACAGTGGCAGTGACTCCAAACATTCAAGTCGCTGGCATCTTGTCCTCATGCTTCTTTTTCTTCTTTAATCTATTCTCAGGGCTCTTCATCCCTAGACCAGTGAGTAAAACTCCTAAGAGGCTAAATAACTGAAGCGGTTTTGAGATTTATTTTCTAGTGCTTTCACTGTATGCTAGAGAGACTAATATGATGCATGGAATTTCATCATCTAACAAAAGGCATTTGGATTTGCAGCTAATTCCAAAATGGTGGGTCTGGTACTACTGGTGCTGTCCTGTGGCTTGGACATTATACGGGCTTATTGTGACACAATACAGCGACATGTATGAATTGGTTAAGGTACCAGGTCAGGCGGACCAGGCCATTAGAGACATTGTAATGAATCATTATGGCTACAGAGATGACTATATAGGCATCATGATTGCCGTACTAATCGGCTTCACAGTCTTGTTCGCATTCACATACACTTACAGCATCCGAACCTTGAATTTCCAGCAGAGGTAGAGAGGACGATTAATGGCAATCCTGAACAGTAATTACAATAATTCCTAGAAATTTTATTCCGTTTTATCTCTTCTGATTACTGAGGTGAGCTTTAGGCCGTTGGTAAAGATCCACGTTCAGGGTTTTGAGCTCGTTACAAATAGTTTTGCTACTTTGACAAAGTGATAAATTGGAACCATTACTGCATGTTAATAGAAGCCGCCATCAAACTGATGGGTTGTTTTCTTCATGTTAATAGTCATTAGAAGCATACTAAAGGAAGATATAAACGTAGTAATGAGGACAGCCACTTCTTTTCGGCTATATAACGAGTGCTGTGTAGCATTTTTCCATCACAGAGACACTTCTGTAATAGGTGAAAGTGCAATTGTTGATGCAGATAAGCAGTATTGCCAGGAAAATGGTTCTTGATGACTCCCAATGGGCTTTTTAACATTTTTGTTTTATAATAATGAAAAATGTACCTACCTACTCCATAGAAGACATTGTTTATTGTTCAAGTTTTGCAAAATTAAGTACACATTCAACTTCACAATACAAAGAAGGGATTTCTAGTAATGTTGACGGGTTTTAGAAGAAAATCGCTCTGAATGGCATTCAGTGGAAAGCCCTTTTGCAATAGTTCTACAACTGCTGGGAAAATGAAAGAGAGGAGCTCATTGAATTGCAACATCAACTACTGGGGAAATAAAAGAGAGGAGCTCATTGAAATGAAACAGTTAAAATTGTTGCAAAGACATGACAGTGATTAAAATAATGACTAACTAGTAATGAATAAAATCGTTGCAAATAGCAATGATAAAAAGAAGAAAAGTATCACATAATCCTCCTTTGATCCTTTGACTTGAAGAGTTTCAAAATAGTGATCGTGTAACAAAACTATGATCCAGAGATAGCATATAATTCAATTTCAAAATTAAATTGTAGAGAAACATAGTAAATTTTCTCCAATAAGCGTTTCTAACAAGAACTTATTTGAAATTAAAAATGAAACTAAAAACTAAGTTGTTCATATCAATGCATCAATTCAGAAAGGCCATGTTCTTGGTGACCACTCTTATAGTGTTGTTTGGCATTAACGTCATTGAGATGAAGTAATACCAAGCCTAGAGGATTTGTGTGAGTGCAGAAGCAGAGAAATTTACAACGGAGATGGTGACAGTTAGGGATTTCAAAATGTCATCATAATTTACTGGGATATTAATAAAGGTTTCATGGTTATCAAATTCATAATTTTAGGTTTCATAGATCTGACTGATAGTAATAATATCACACGGGATACATTTCACCCTAATAAAGACTTAGTTGTCCTAAGCTTCATTTGCATTAGTAAAGAATTCCCTGACAATAGGGAGTATGTAGGCAATGGGTTATGCACAAAAGTTCTCCCAACTTCTAGTTACTATCATAAGTTCTACCTAGCCCCGGCCCCTAACTCCTAAAAACCCTCTAAGAGATTAGTTCCTTGTAAACAATAAAGTGGTTATACCTTTCTTCCGCCACTGTGCTAACAAATCACTTCTTGTCATAAGAGGAAGAAGATGAGGATAACCATTTCTTGCCTACTGTAATCTTTTGGGTAATTGTCTCCAACAAGAAATGCTTCTAGTCCTGTGCTTGAAATTTTTTGAATCATGCAGGAAATGAATTTTCCAGCCCTCTATTTGTATAAAGCTAACAGCACTGCGGCATTGGCCTTATGAGCATTGTGGTGCTGGTTAGTCAAAGGGTCAGTGGTCAAGTGAAAGAAATAGCATTGCAACGCTATGGTTAGGTGGCGCCAAGATGCTCTATCTGGGAATTCAAAATCTCAGTTTTTTTAGTGGTCCTCCGCCGCAGCCACCGCGATGCTCAACTACTACAATTATGATGCTTTGACTGAGCATTGTGGCATGTGTGGCTGCGTCATAGCGCTCAACTACTCCAATTATGATGCATTGACTGAGCAATGTAGCTCAAGTGGTTGCGCCGCAATGCTCTTTTAAATCTGATAAAAACCTGAGAGCTCAATGTCACAAAACTGGGGTGCTGAGCTCTACGGTGCTAAGTGGCGATTTAACGTGGTGGTGCTAGATTCCTAAGACACTGCGGTGCTCAAGGACTCAACGTTGTGGTGCTCCAAGTATGATTTTCATACATGACACTAACTACCATCGCATTAACATTATTCAGTAAGCACACATTAAATGGAAAACTAGACAAAGTCTAATTAATCACGCCACATTAACAACATTCACTTGAAATTTATCAAAAAGAATCTTCACACATCACAATACCCATTTGGGTTGCCTCCCAATGAGTGTTAAGTTTATAATCTTCACACATCACAATACCCATATAGATCCCCATCCGTCAAGCAGTTGAACTCCTCCGACACCAGGCCGAACCTAAACCCATTGCCTGCTCCCTACCAAACTCCAAATTTTGAATCTAGACCAAATCCGACTCCTTCCTCTTCAACCTAGCCTTCCCTCCACTCGACTCCTTCCTCTTCAACCTATCCTTCCCTCCACTTAAACTCCCATGCCCAACCGTCAGCTTGTGACCGAGCTCCCTGTTGGTGTTGAAAAGGGTTTTTTGAAAAGATTAATCTTCTTTGGAAAAATTTGAAATTGACTTCGAATTTTAATTCTGAAATCGAATATACAACCTCGAGAGGTACAAACAAAATTCAAAATGAGGTTTAAATTTAGAATTGCATATCTCATTATGAATATCGTAACTAAATTTAAGAAAGAGTTGCATATGGCCCCCAAAGGGTCAAAGTGTAGTTCGATCGAATATCTAGCTACGATAATCAAGATTAATAATCATTAATCTCATATTTAAAATTTTATGAACAAATGATATATCTTCCCGAATGAAGAAAATATCATCTATTAACGATTATTTGAATATGACGATAACAATCATCGTTGATTAACATTTTTCGGAGGAAGACAAATTCATTTTTTAAAATCGATTTTAAAATATGGTTGTAGGTTCTAAATCTCCTACGAGCGCATGCCCTCGTATTTAATTACATCGTAGGAAACTGGAGTCTCGTACGAATACTCTCGATTAAAATAACGATAGAAATTCTATTTAGAGATTTTCTAGAAGTGATTTTGGAGTTTCAATAGGGATTGGATCAAATTTTGAACACTTATTTTTGGAGTTAATGGAGTAGGAGACACTTTGGGATTCTGAAATAATTCAGAAGTGTCCCAACCTAATTTAAGTATTAGGCTTTAAATTTTAAATTGAGAGAATTCTTTTTAATTTTTGTTGATCATTGTGGGTCTCCGAAAGGATTCTGCTCATGGGGCTCGAATGCAAAGGTTACGATCACACTATCCCGTAGGGCAAAATGGTCGTAGACCTTTACACTTGACACAAGCAGGCTAATGGAAGAGCAGATGGAGTTATATATACGATTAGCCATGGAGGGTAGCAGCTTTCACCTATCAACCTCGATGGATAATAATATGTATGACCCTAAAGTTCATGAGATTTCTCCCATTCGATACATCAGCTCGAACGGGGTTTATTTGATTGTGGGGATCGGTTTCCTACGGGTGCAAGCCCCCGTAGTTAATTACATTCTAGGCCTTGACCTAGGAAAACTCTCGATTAAGGATGATTGATTATTCACTTCTTAATTTGGTGCACAGAAAAAGTTCCTAAGTTCTATTCCAATGAATCTCTTCTATTTATCTTTAATGATGATTAGACATTTTTAAATGGATAAAGATATAATTAAAATTTTGAGTTTAGAAGATCAAAGATTGGATTACTACCCTAAGAGAAATGACAGACTCAAAACACACCAGAAGTGAAAAGACACACTGAGGGGTGTACAGCCTGGGCTTATGCTTGCCTGGAGTGAGCTGCCAGCTAACATCCTAAACACAATCAATCGCCCTACATGTATATAAGATAGGAAGGCTCTATCCTAAGAAATTAAGAATTTGTTGTTCAAAAGGTTTCAATCAAGGACTCTATAATATGCAAAAGAATGTACCTAGCGCTATGTATGATGCATGAAACAGATATGAAATATCCCTAGGTCTACTGATGTAATGCATGCATGTAAGTGTGGTGCAATGTGAAGCAAGGTGTGTAAAAACAAATACGTGCATGACATCCAGAGTACAGAAAAAGTAAATAAACACACCAGATACTCTCCAAGCAAGGTATCTGTATCACATCATAATAGAAAAATCATCCTAAAGGCGCCCACTTCGTGTGGGAAAATAACGATGCCCATGGCACAATAGGTGGCCTACTCTACAGGCCTAAATGACCCTAATGGTCTCTAGGGCTCACAGAATGTGGGGGATACCCAAAATCAGAAAAAATTCAAAATCCTAGTGATACCCACTTCGTGTGGGAAAATAACGATGCCCAATGGCACAAATGGGTGGGCCTACTCTACAGGTCTAAGGTGACCATAAGGGTTTCTAGGGCTCATAGAAAGGGGGGTAAGCTTTGACCTATAGGGCCAAAGCTTCGGTAGTGAACTAACCTAAGGCTGGCTACCTAAACATACTAGAATACCTATTAACAATAAGTGTGTGATGTATAGCAGTTTTGATATATAATAAAAAAAATTGCTTTACAAGTTGCAGAGATCATACCTGACTGTGGCACTGCCACTTAAAAGTTCCAAGCAAGCAAATTGTCCATTCATTCTTGATTGTGTGAGACCCAATGTACCTGGCTATGGCGCTGCCACTTAAAAGCTTATAAGCAATGGTCCCTTTTAGTTCCCTATCATTAAGCTCCGATGTTCCTCGCAAAATAAGATAAAAGAGAAATATGCAAATGAGCGTAGATGTCATTCAGAAAAGAAGTGCAGGTAAGTAAAAAAATATAACTGACAAGAAATTTAAGAATTACATTTATAAAACATGTGCATGTTGTAAACACTGGACGATAAAAGAAAATGATGGCCTAACCTAGGACTAGAAGTCGTGTCCTAACCGAACAAGTCTAAGGTGTGTGTAACTTGCTGTGTG